TATTAGTGTGAAAACTTGTTTGATACTCATTGTTTTATCATATTAGTTAAGTATAAATCATCTTTCATAATTAAACTGGGCTCATTGCTTGGTTGCACCACAATATGTGTTATTAGCTTGTCCTTTTGGCTGTACTTTAGATTAATCTTGTTGATGTTTGAAAGGCATGGTCAGCGGTTTGCCTTCTGGACTGATGAGGCCAGAAACTTGCTCCAAGGAACTCTTCAGCCAGTGTACAGAGTGCTATCTCAGAGGAAATCCACATTCAGGCTGTCGATGACCACACCGCAAAGGTAAAGAGACTGCTGGACTTCATTGTGAAGTTACAGGGATCTGAGGAGCATTTAGTTGTACTTAAACAATGTTCACATTTAATCATCATTACAAACAAACTCATAGTAAAGATTCACCAAGGGCCTTAATTAGGAATAACATTAACAATATCTTTTAACTATGCTGCAAATTATTGTATCTTTATCTTAAATGTATCAATTTTCTCAAAATAACTGTTTTTGCACCATGGTTTGCCCATAGCGTGTACTAAACGGGAAGCCCTCTAAGTGGTCTCATAAGCTAACCTCTTCCTGAGTGCCTGTCTACCTCGACAGTGAGGAACAACTGTCCTGTTTGCCTATTTGAGAGGAGTGCTGCATAGGACACCGACACACCTGAGCTTCACAGATGAAGTGCAGAGGTATGCCGGACCATGTAATGTGTTTGTGAGTGTCCTGCTCCTGCACTTACACAATCTACTGTATAAACTTTCACAGGCCATCATATATGCCCTGGCTGTCCTACGGAATTTCTCATTGCAGGAGGCTGAGCCGGTCTTCCTTTCTGGTCCGGATTATCATTACAGGTCATTAACCTTTTGTTACTGATATTTCTGTTAACCCAACAGTGATTGTTCTCTGATAACTATTTCAGTGAAGTGGAAGATTTTAATAGAAGGATTGACGGTAACACTTTCTATGAAGCCTGTATTTATAATACATTATAAGGTTATTCTTAAAGCATTATAAGGAATGAATAATGCATTATAAGAAACCTTATAATATGTTGCATCATCTTATCAATAATCGTAAGAACAGTTTTAATGTATTATAATACTTATTTTTGGTTAAGTGTATGATATTTATAACACACAATGAACACATTGCATCCACTTAAATTACAATGGATTATATTTCTCATAGTTATAATATATTATAGGTCTCATATCTTGCCATTGTTTAAGATCTGCACAATAACTTAGTACATCTTATTTGTGTTTTTACTGTAAAATAACAAATACAAAGTCTTCATGAAAACATTCCAAAATGCTTTAATATTGTCTTATTATTATTATTAAGTGCTCTTTGTCTGCTTTAAGTGAAGTAACTGTTATTATAATGCCTTAAGAAAACCCTTATAATGTATTATAAATACAGGCTTCATAGAAAGTGTTACCGGATTGACAAACAATTGGGGAAAGAAGAGAGAACGTTTAGTTTGTGGGTTTTGCTCTTATATACGTCAATTTGGAGTTAGATGTCAGTAACATGATTATTCTGTTTGGTTCTCTCTCTCTCTCTACAACCCCAACAGTGCATAAGTGTTAAATCAGAAATATATATTACAGAGTTAAACATGTTAAAGCAAATGTTTCTTATTTAATTCTCCCTCCCTCTCTCTCTCTTTTTTTGATCTCTCTCAGGAGTTGAAGCCTTTCTGTCCATGCAGCAACTGATGGAAAAGGGGGGCTTTTTTATGATGTTGTATTATGTGTTATTGCAAAAGTGAGTATATACAGTATATAAATATGCATTCTTGAATCATTCTTGAGTCTTGCCTCTCTACAAACTTTTAAATATCTGGCTGTAATTTAGTGACTGCAAATGCTGATTTAATTTGATTCCATCTTTAATATATGAGCTAGTTAAACTTAAGGGGGCTAATCAATATACAGTATATTTCAAGAAACAAAGACTTAAGGTACTCCACTTTTTTAGTTGTTTAAAGACTGAAATGCATTTTTCATTTATATGTTAAGTGCAAATTCATTTAAATTTAAAGTTGTTAACTCAAAGCTGGTATTACACACTTTGTAATTAACATCTAACAAAAATCACAATTGAAATAAAAAAAAATGTTCCTGAGATTCAATATCTTTAACAACATGTACAAACATTACTACAAACTAAACCACCAGGGTCTTAGAAATGCGGTCCTGAAACTGCAGCCTCCGGTTGTGCAGGAACACCCTTCTCATAATAGGGGGGAAATGATGAATGTGCCTTTAATCTGTTCATTTGCTTAGTTTATAGTGGCAGATTGTGTCAAACTTCACTGTTTCACGTTGCCATATGATGGCTAACAATTATTAGTTCGGAATACCAAAGTAAAAGTCACCCAGAAAACGCTAATAAATTACAAACTTGTGTATAGCAACACTCACCCTCTGTTATAGTGTCAACCCTTACCAAGAAAGGACACCAAACGTTCCCAAACGGTAAACAGACCTCGCACTGGATCCAAATAGAATTCCACTTCTTTCCTAGATAACCAAAAATATATCTTACAAATTAGTGAAACAAATCTGCCTGGCTAAACCAAATATTTTAACCAAATCTGAAATCTACCATTAGGAAGAAAATGGTTTTACATAATATATTATCTTGTATTTTCTATGGGTTTAAAAGTGAAATATGAAATACGTTTTGTGACATGTATCCTTCAAACACACAGAAACACAAGAATAAACGCAATTTTAACACATCCCAAATGAATTTTAATAATACAACAAAAGATGATGCTGTCTACTGTGTATGCAAATATAAAAATGAAACTAATAGTTTGTCAAAAGTCAATCCTGTGTAATAAACAAATACATAATTGCTGTAGTTCATTTTCTTCATTTGCGTTTAGCTGCCAGACTTTTATTATGAAATGTAAAAACAAATCTTCCCATAACCCGGATGTTTTAACCACGGCGTTTCGAAGTAATTTCTTGTGTCTTAAAATGTAGGTTTATAATTGACTCGTGGTCAGATAAATATAGACATAATTAACAAGAGCTAGGTTAAGGAATGCTTGGTCGATATTTCACTCAGTTATACTGGCTTTTTCATGGACCAACTTATCTGAAGATTCTTGTATGACTATTCTGATGGTTTATCTTCCCGCCACTGTAACCGAGCAACAGACGCTCAAACGAAAACACGAAAGGGAGACTTTTACATGTTATTCTTTTTCTTCAGGTGCTCACAATGTCTTTAGCTGGAGCGCTGTGGTTTGCTGTCCAGGATGATTTATTCACAAACGGACTGTGTAGCAACTCCTCATCGCCCAGCATCAGCAACATAGCTCCAGACAAACAATCCAGCGTCAGTGAGCCCACCTCTGCCTCCGAGACTCACAGTGTCCTGGACGAACTGGACGATTGCTTAATTTCTCAGACTTTACCTTTCAATCGACGGTGTTTGCGGTTCATCGTCGATTTCATCCAGGCCCGTTTAAAGAAAGACGTGTTTGCGGCCGGCCACAGCCTGACCTCCGCAGAAGCCAACATTCTGGCCACGCTTGCCTGCTACGCACAGGGGTCTCTGTCCGGTAAAATCACCGACCGGCTGGGAATAGATCAGACAGCCGCGGGCGAGGCGGTGAAGACCATTACTAAACTCTTAGCAGACACGAGTCCCGATTTCATCACTTTCCCGAACAGCTACAACGACCGCATGGGTGCCGCTCAAGCCTTTAAGAACCTGAGCGGCATCCCGCATGTGGTGGGAGTGCTGGGGTATCTGCACGTGAAGGTGAGCCCTCCGCTTGGGGAGGAGCACATGTATATGAACGCTCTGGGCTATCACTCAGTCATGATGCAGGTCGTATTTGACATGGACGGGAATCTCTTGAGTCTGGAGCAGTGCTGTCCCGGAGGAACTCCTGAACACACTGTTTGGGAGAAGTCGGACATTGGCAGACAGTTCTGCATATTTCAACACGGTCACGCGTGGGTTGTTGGTGAGTTGTGAAGCGTGCTACAACGTTTGAATGTGTCCCGTTTACTTCTCTGAGGGGAAAAAGTGGTTACACTTTATTTGAAGGTTTCCTGTCTACAGTGTCATATAAATTTAAGTACCGAGTAATATTAATTAACTACATTTAGTTACGATATGGTTAGGATTCGGGTTACTTGCATGTAATTAGGGCTGGACGATATGGCCAAAATTGATATCACGATATATTTCTTAATTTCGGTCGATACGATATAATTCCGATATCGATATGAACACTATCTATCTGAAATAGAAATGTTTTGTAACATTATAAATGCCTTTATCATCACCTTTGATCAATTTTAAGCATCCTTGCTAAATAAAAGTATTAATTTCTATCATTTCTTTCCCCCAAAAATAATAGAAATTATACTGAATGGTATAGTGTATAATGTTACAAAAGCTTTTTATTTCAGATAAATGCTGATCTTTGGAGCGTTCTATTAATCAAAGAATCTTGAAAAAAAATGTACTCAACTGTTTTATATATTGATAATCAGCAAATCAGCATATTAGAATGATTTCTGAAGGATCATGTGACACTGAAGACTGGAGTAATGATGCTGAAAATTGAGCTATGTTTGATCACAGGAATAAATTACATTTTAAAATCTAATCAAGTAGAAAGCAATTTTAAATAGTAAAAATATTTCAACATTTCACTGTTTTTTGCCGTACTTTGGATCAAATAAATGCAGTCTTGGTGAGCAGAAGAGAATTCTTAAAAAAAAAAAAATTAAATTAAAAATCTTACTGTTCAAAACCTTTAGACTGGTAGTGTAGGCTGATTATTCTTATAGATTGAAACAAATGTGCTTCAGCCAGAAAAAAGGGTATGAAAAGTGCTCCGAGTCGCTGCAGAACAAAAAAATTGAACAACAACAAAAACTGGAAACGTTGCTGGAGACGGGCTTATTTAAAATGAAAACTCATTCTCTGCCAGCAGGAGGTGCTTTTAGAGTGATAAAACTAGCGGTTTCCCCGGTAACGGCTGTAATCAAAGCAGCTCCGCTCATGAA